TTTGATAATTTGAAATCATTATAAGACATTAAAAAGCAGATCTTAAAAGATGATTCAGCATTTTGAATAATATAAATTATTACAAAATAAATATAAAATTATGCAATAACAATTTGAGGGTTATCTATTTCTTCACAATATAGCTAAACCTAAAAACATAGGAACTATCATCAGGTATAATTTTTTAATAATCTCAATAGAAATGCTGCTGCATTCAATTTAACTAAAGTTTTTATGATTGGAAAACAAGGATAAAACAAAAAGAAATTTTAAATTGCTGAAGGATTTTCATTTTTTGGTAATCATGGTACTTTCGATTAAATGAATTTTCATCTTTTTAATAATTTAAAAGAAGCTAAAGAGTATTTTGTGCAAAATAATATTTATGTTTGTGGTGTCGAAATTGGGGAAGGTTCTTAAAATATTATCACAAATCCATTTAAAGGAAATACAGTCTTCTTTCTTGGAAATGAAGTTAAATATATATAAACAATAATATAGGGTACAGGATTAATTCCAGAACATAAAGTTATTTGTGATCAATTTGTTTACATTCCTTAATACACTTAAAAGACTGCTAGTCTTAATGTTGGAGTAGCTTCTGGAATTATATTTCACCATTTTGCATGTTAATATTTTATAAATTAAATTATAGTATGGGCAGGATTTTAGGAATAAAAAGTGGAAGGTGAGAAATTTTTGGATCCAGAAAAACAAAAACAAGAAAAAGAGAGAAAGAAGCAAGAGATGATAGAATATGGAAAAGAATTAAAGAAATAAAAATTAGAATAATAAAAAATTTAATAGTAATCATTAATTTAAGTATTTATTTAATAATAATATTATTGTTATTATTATTATTTGAAAAAAATATAAAACCAAGGAAAATATAATATTACTTTTGATATTAATCAAACTTTTTTTTTGTATTTTATTTTCGTTTATAACAATAATGATTTTTAATAAAATTCAAAAAGATTTAAAAAATGAAAATCAGAGATCTTTTAATAGAGTATCATTTACATTCAATTTTAGTACATCAAATTATATTTAATATATGAAATTTAAATATGAACTAAGAAAAAGGTAATAATAGAAAAAGATTCTTTTGCTCTCTTAAAATTAAATTTTTATGATATAATGTTTCTAAAATAAAAAGTTGTTTGAATATGAATTTTCTTCTTAAATTTTTGTAATTTATATTTAATTTTACATTAAAAACATTAGTTTAACATTTAATTTTAATTATTCATTTTGATTGGAGTTGTTTATGCTTTTTTAGGCAATACTTTACTCTTAAGTTGTATTATCTAGATATTTAAATTGATAACTATTTATTTTGTTTTTCTTCTCTCACTTTTTACTTTATTTTTTCCTAATAAAATAGTTTTTATTTTTAATGTGTAAAACTATAATTATTTATTTGGAAAATTTGATCATTTAAAAATATGGCAATTAATACATATATCAGTATAAACTTATTATTAATTAAGCTTTTATTTTAATTAAATAAAGCGCATTAATAAATATTAATTGAAACATCATAAAAATTTAAATTTATATGATTAAAGCGTTATTTTATAGCCATGATTGAGCTAAGATAATAAAGAAAAACTTATTTACTTAATTATTGTTAGAATTACCAAGGATAAGGAAAATCACTATGAGCAAATCAATCTTGATTTTCTGATAATCGTTAATTATATGTATTCGATTTTGATTAATTTGTAAAATATATAAATTTATCCAAAATTACTTTGATTATTCTTTTTCTTGAAATATTTTCCAAAAGTTTTCAAATATTTTAATTTAGTATCAGTACTCAAAGTTCTTATATTTAAAAATACTATATAACATTTAATACCATTTATGAGTGGTTCCTCTTTAATATTAATTAGAACTAAAATATAAAGTATATTTTCTGACCTTATTAATTTCATTAGAGCTATTAAGTATTCTATTAAAATTTTTTATTTTTTTTATTTTGGTTATTTAATTTTAAAGTTAATCCTTAAATATCCAAGTATAATTTCTCTTTTAATTAATTATAAAGAAAGATAAAAGATTAACCCAAAATGATTTGTTTAATAAAAAATGGAAATTCTTTTTAGATGATGATTCGAAAAAAACAAAACAAAAAGGTGAAATCATAAAAATAAACATTCCAAAAATGTTAAACAATGATGTTTTTGTTCAATTTAAACAGTATTTTTTATAATTTTTTTTTCTAGAGATCTTGTTCCTTTTATATTATATTGATGTAAATATGAGGAAAATATATTTTTTCACAAATAGTTAATTTTAAATTTTTTTAGATAAAATAGGTTAGATATTATTTAAAAAAAAGAGAGAAAAATTTTCGAATAGAACCAATAGATTTCAATGGTTATAGAATAAAACAATTATTCAAGATTTATTTGACTGATTTATGTATTTTATTAATACTTTGAAAAGAGGATTTTCATAAATATATAATAAATAATAATATATTGATTATTTTTTATATATAAATAATAAAAATAATAGAATTTGAATAATTAAAATATTAATGTCATAGTTTTGCTAATATGAAGATCATGATGAAAGTCCAATAATAGGAGCATGTTTAAAAATAGATTGCAAATATTCAAGTTCTTATTGTTATCATTGTATAATAAAACATCATAATTAACATATGGATGATTTAAAGACTTTTAAATAATTAAATGAATGGATCAAAATATAAATGAATACGTATTAAGACTTAAAAACATTTAATAATGAAATTATTTAATTAAGTGAAAGATTATCAAAGTTTTTAATTACAATTAATGTAGATTAATAATTAGATTATTCATAATTATCATAAGAAGTTATGAAAGATCAAATTAATAAATTAATTAGAATTTCAATATCTAAAATTTCATTAATTCCTTTAATATCCAAATTATATGAAGATTTAAGTAATTTAAAAGTTGAAATTAACAAAATAAATTAAAATAATATTAAATCTAATACTTCTCAAAATATTAACTATATTTAATCTTTAGAATAAGATAAATAAGAAATAAATAAAATAAAAATAGTTATTTAAGAAAAAGATTAAGAAATTAAATAATATATTATTTAAATCTAATAATAATAACATTAAATATAATCTTAAAAAGTAGAAATTAATCAGAAAAATGAATAAATCAATTAACTTAAATAAGAGAATGAATAATTAAAATATTTAATAAAAACAGATAAATAAATATATTAGGTATAATTAAAAAATTTATAAATTGACTAACAAATATAATTTATAAGTTAATAATCATAATAAGATTAATATTATTAATCTTAACGATAATAACACACACAATTTTTATAAAATCAAGACTCTTAATATTAAAATGTCTCATTTCAATTTATTTAAACAGAAAATATTACAGTTGCAAATGGTGGAAAGAAAGCATCTGGATTTGGTTGGACTGGGTAATTAGCTTTTTGTGAGCCTAGCATTCCATTAAATCAAAATGTAAAACTTGCATTTCGAATTATAAGATTAGGAATGCAAATTGATATAGGTATCGGTTCGATGAATTAATCTGAAGAATTGAATATAAATAACAGTTATTCTATTGATTCACTTTTATTTAAACTATATGAGAATGATACTGTTTTACTTGACATTAGAATGAAAGATAAAAAATTAATATTTAAAAACTTAAGATCATTAAAAGAACAAGTAAATAAATAACATTATAATATAGCAAATGTCAATTGATACTTCACAAGTTTTATATCCTTATGCTTGTTTTCGTAGTTCATCTATTGAAATAGTTGATAATTATTGAATAAGATTACTTGAATAATTACATTAAATTTATATATATTATCTTATAAGTAGCTCTATTTAATTTTTAACTTATTTTGTTATGATCCAAGTAACTGTTAGGATTAAAACTCAACTTAAACATTAATTGATTGCCTTAAATGTATGTAAATGTTTGATTTTACTTAATCTCACAATATAACACTTTAAAAAAAAATCTGCTTTCAGATTTACTTATAAATTCATAAAGTGAGTAATTAATGATAAATTTTTAAATAAAATAATAATTTACTTCATTTTGCTATTAATATAATTTATAATTTTGATTATATCAAAATATATTTCAAAACCATTCCTTAAATGAGAAAAAATCTAGTTGATTTATAAGTACAAACTAAATTATGAAATCAATATATGAATTTTTTTTAACTTAATAATTAATAAATTATATGGTTGTTTATAAATACAAATTTTTTCTAAGATGATCTTTTCANTAAATAATAAAAATAATAGAATTTGAATAATTAAAATATTAATGTCATAGTTTTGCTAATATGAAGATCATGATGAAAGTCCAATAATAGGAGCATGTTTAAAAATAGATTGCAAATATTCAAGTTCTTATTGTTATCATTGTATAATAAAACATCATAATTAACATATGGATGATTTAAAGACTTTTAAATAATTAAATGAATGGATCAAAATATAAATGAATACGTATTAAGACTTAAAAACATTTAATAATGAAATTATTTAATTAAGTGAAAGATTATCAAAGTTTTTAATTACAATTAATGTAGATTAATAATTAGATTATTCATAATTATCATAAGAAGTTATGAAAGATCAAATTAATAAATTAATTAGAATTTCAATATCTAAAATTTCATTAATTCCTTTAATATCCAAATTATATGAAGATTTAAGTAATTTAAAAGTTGAAATTAACAAAATAAATTAAAATAATATTAAATCTAATACTTCTCAAAATATTAACTATATTTAATCTTTAGAATAAGATAAATAAGAAATAAATAAAATAAAAATAGTTATTTAAGAAAAAGATTAAGAAATTAAATAATATATTATTTAAATCTAATAATAATAACATTAAATATAATCTTAAAAAGTAGAAATTAATCAGAAAAATGAATAAATCAATTAACTTAAATAAGAGAATGAATAATTAAAATATTTAATAAAAACAGATAAATAAATATATTAGGTATAATTAAAAAATTTATAAATTGACTAACAAATATAATTTATAAGTTAATAATCATAATAAGATTAATATTATTAATCTTAACGATAATAACACACACAATTTTTATAAAATCAAGACTCTTAATATTAAAATGTCTCATTTCAATTTATTTAAACAGAAAATATTACAGTTGCAAATGGTGGAAAGAAAGCATCTGGATTTGGTTGGACTGGGTAATTAGCTTTTTGTGAGCCTAGCATTCCATTAAATCAAAATGTAAAACTTGCATTTCGAATTATAAGATTAGGAATGCAAATTGATATAGGTATCGGTTCGATGAATTAATCTGAAGAATTGAATATAAATAACAGTTATTCTATTGATTCACTTTTATTTAAACTATATGAGAATGATACTGTTTTACTTGACATTAGAATGAAAGATAAAAAATTAATATTTAAAAACTTAAGATCATTAAAAGAACAAGTAAATAAATAACATTATAATATAGCAAATGTCAATTGATACTTCACAAGTTTTATATCCTTATGCTTGTTTTCGTAGTTCATCTATTGAAATAGTTGATAATTATTGAATAAGATTACTTGAATAATTACATTAAATTTATATATATTATCTTATAAGTAGCTCTATTTAATTTTTAACTTATTTTGTTATGATCCAAGTAACTGTTAGGATTAAAACTCAACTTAAACATTAATTGATTGCCTTAAATGTATGTAAATGTTTGATTTTACTTAATCTCACAATATAACACTTTAAAAAAAAATCTGCTTTCAGATTTACTTATAAATTCATAAAGTGAGTAATTAATGATAAATTTTTAAATAAAATAATAATTTACTTCATTTTGCTATTAATATAATTTATAATTTTGATTATATCAAAATATATTTCAAAACCATTCCTTAAATGAGAAAAAATCTAGTTGATTTATAAGTACAAACTAAATTATGAAATCAATATATGAATTTTTTTTAACTTAATAATTAATAAATTATATGGTTGTTTATAAATACAAATTTTTTCTAAGATGATCTTTTCATACAATTTCTATAACCATCTTTTCAATATAAATTTAGATTTTCAGCATTTTTACATTCTGAGAATTAATTAAAAATTTTTTACTTTTGGAAATAATAAAAATAGTGTACTTAAAATTATTTATAATTCATTATTTATAGATTTTTGTATTTGATGATAAACCTATTTTATTATCAATGTAAAAATGTTGTATTTTTTTTGTTTTAATCATTGTTTCTATAATATATATCACCTCCTCAATATTTTACAATTATCAAGCATTAATTGATATTTATCTTTTATGATTTACCTTGTGCATACATTTATTAATTAAAAAGTGTTCCAACTCAACTTTTTATTTTACTGTCTTAACATCCTCCTTAAACATTTATATATGTCAAGAATTTTTTTATTTATTACATCTCTACTAAAATATATTTATAAATGATGATAAATTTATTTATCCAAGTTGACAATACTTTATTATTTCATAATTATAATATTGTATTGTTTTAATTCAAGTCTTATTATATGTTGAATTATTTACATTATGATTATTAAAATTAACTTCCATAAGATTTCTCTCCAAAATTCCAAAAAAAAGTGAAAGTAACAAAGGTTATATTCTATCATAGAATTTTTAAGAATGTTAACTTTCAATTTTTATTTA